TTTTCTTTCAATTTCTTCTTTGTTTTGCCTTGTACTGATATCACACTGACTAAACAGGAGGCCGCTACTTCAGAGTACTGGCAAGCAGATTAAAGGAGATGCAAAAGCAGTAGGTGCTCGTGCAAGGCTGGTGGATTTGTCTGATTGAGATTAAATAACTGAGTGGTTTTGCATCCCAAAAGACCAAAGTGCAACACAGAAATGCCCAAYACTACACAAAATAGAATGCAGCAGATAATTCACCCAGCTTCTAAGAAGCTGTCAGCAGCACAGACATGCCCTTCAGAACAGTAGCATGTGGTTGTTTGTGTGTGTGCTTAGAATAAGTGATATTTAATAAATTAGATCAACATACAACATTTACTTTTAGTCTAACCTCAAAGAGACACAATTCTTTTGCACATTGTTTCATGACTCCTTCCCATGCATGATCCAGGAGACCTGCCACCCACAGGACTGGACCCTACGAAGAACGTTTCCCTCTTTACTACCTTGCTCCTTACAAAACTGAAGGGCCTTCAGCTTGCTCCCAGAGAAGCATGGGCTCTCCCTCTGTCCTGGCATGGTTCTCTGCCACTTCTCCATCTCTGGCAATACCTACATTACTGCATCAAAGTAACACCTATAAAAAGACAGAGATATGTAAATATAGGTATTATTATTTTAAAACYCAGCTCCAGGTCTCATGCACACTTAATACTGAAATAGTTGTTTTCGGTTCTTGTGTGATGAATATTGGTATTCTTTCTCCAGCATAATTCACAGATAATGAAGTTAACTGCTTTACATGTCAGGCTGAAAACACATGGCCTATAAAAGGGAGATATGAGAGGGGGTGGAAACATTCATGTTAATTTTAAACATTTAAAGCTTTAGCTTGCTGAAATGTTTTAATAATGTTACACAGTGATACATTTGAATCAGTGCTTTTTTCCTATGAAACATCAGTTCACATTTGACTACGTATTTGTCTAAGTGAAACTGGATGTCTGACTGCCCCAGTCTATTCTGAAAAGGCAAATTTAGTACACTATTCAGCAAGTCCGATTGGAATGTCCTTGTTTTTCTGCAATCCATCCTACACATACTGAATTTCTGTGTGATGTCTTACATTTCCATTTCTCCATCTGTCCAGTTAGTTGCATCCTGATTATGGATGGCTTTATGTGTGCCCAGCTTTAATATGTAAGCCTTGAYTTTCAAAAATGTGACTATTTGCCATTCATGTGAAGTCAGACTGGTTTTCTAGAGTTGGRTGAGGATTAGATGATCCTTTTGAATATTTGAGACTAAACATTTTGCTCATCTTTGCAGTGTAGCCAAGCTTAAGATTCCCATCTGCTTGGTTTCTTTTTCCTCCCCTTACTCAATACTGCTACCTCTGCAATTGGAGAAAGAAGCTGAACTTGGCGGGTTTTAAGTCAATGRTAAAATTGTTAACTGTGATAGAAGGATTCTATCCGTGAAAGGCACAAGAGTAAAATATATGTATATAAGCAGTTAATAGATTTAGAAATTCACAACACATGTATAAGAGAAGATTATTAAGCATTAGAAAACAGATGAACACAAGGCCAGGAGATTCAGTCGAAAATTACTCTGTCACAAAGGTTTTAAATCATATTTTGAAAAATACTTGGAAATCCTAGATAGCCTTTGGGGACTAGCTTATTTTCCATTATGTCCCACTTCAAATTCCACCCCAAATTCCAAGTATGTACCTTTAACAGAAACATGCTTTGACAGCCCTGTGATTTTATCTTCTAACGTACCATGATATCACTGTCATGCTAACTCATGACTCTTAAAGTATAATCTGTCATGACACTAAARAAGTTAGTGTTACTCTTCTGTCCATGGACAAAAAAATCTGTTAACAAATTTGAACTCAGTTTGGTCATTCGATAAAAAAATGTGAATCCCTAAAAAACAAAGTCATGAAGAACAAGGAGACATAATTTGCTGTCTCTTACTTCTTTGTGTCTTGGCACACAGTAGCAAGTTTTCTCTTAATAAGAAGTATGCACATATAAATCTCCCTCTTAAATAGGTATGTGAAATCCTATACCAAAAACAATTTTCAGATTATTCTGACAGGTACCATTTATAYGCTGAAGGGTTATATTTATGCCAGCCTCCAGATTTAAGTAAGACTTGCTACATTTTTTAGTGTTTTCCCACACCAGACACCCCCTTTCAAGGCATGACTAGCAGTTCATTTTTGAATCTGACTAAGACTGAGAGTAGGGGGGGTTCCCCAATCTCAGATTTTCTTGGATATTCACTGCTTCCTGATSTCTGCTGGGATTCAAGACATTCCTGTCTGCCATATCCAACAGTAAGTCTGAGTTTGCCATCCAGGACCATCAACTGGAAGTCCACAGAAGGTGAAATTAGGTGATATATTTAGCATAGCAAGAGGCATGAGCAGTAGAGAATGGGTTAAACTTTCATTCTTCTTGAGATGGAAAGGTTTTGGGTTTTGCCTGTGATCTTTCAGGGTGTCATAGAGGAATCGTGTCCACAGCAATACTTTTGAGGAAGTGAAATTATGGACAGCAGCATTTTGAGCTGTTACACTGAAATGCTGGACCCGAACAGCAGTGAGCTATCCTCACTGCTAGCACGAGCTTCCTGGAATACAAGATCCAGAAGTTGTCAGCTACCACCAGCATGACCTAATATTGGAGCATGGAGAGTTTTGAGATTTAGGGATCCCATAAACAGGTGTCAACATATGGAAGCTTTCAGAGAGTACTGGCTAGTGAAAGGGGGCTGTAAAATGACTGCAAATAAATTAGCACTTTTACTTACCAGAGTTTCTCATGTGAAATCTTTTCACAGCTGGGTGAYATTTCTATAGATGAGGTAAAAAGTGGTAATTCCATTGACATTGTTTTTCCCCAGACAGTAAATTTCATAAAATGTCAAACATGCCACGAATGAGACATATATGTCTCACAGGCTTCATTAACTATCAAACCAGTAGAACTTGAGACATACGTAAACATTAAAATAAAAAAAAAKTGAGAGTTGTTATAAGAGCATCATATTGCAGTGTACTTCATCATAGTTGAGAAGAGGGGCTTTCTGAAAACTTGAGAGTTGTAAGATAGAGCCCCTGGTTTGACAGATACAGTGATTTAACTTGGAACTCTGCCRGCATAAACCAGCACACTAGCGTATAGTGTTGAGCTCTGGTTAGAAAATATGCTTGACATTGTCAGGGCTTTAGGAATCAAGGCAGATTCTTCGTGTTTATTTCAAAGTTCTGCTTCAAAGGAGGACTGCTCCTTATTGAAAGATTCAGAAGAAAGCCAAGACTACCTTTTCATTCTCCTTTCTTCCCCAGCCCACAGAATATTTGCAGCATCTGGCATATATTCCCCCTTACAGAATGGTGACCTCATCTGTATGTGTGATCAGGGTCACTTTAATTTRACCACACCATTGCAGAGCATTTAAAAAAGGGTTTTACAGATTATAATTTTCTGTGTCTGAGAAAGAAAAAAGCAAATCCTATGCAAAAAAAAATTAAAACCTGGATAAAATGTCTGCTGCTACAGATGCCTCCTCCCTGCCCNGCGAAAAAGAGACCCGCGCGGCTCCCCGCCCCGCTCCTCACCTCCCTCACGGATTTATTTGGTAAAACTGCCCAAATCCCCTCCCCGATTACTGTTTTTATAATTAGATGTATGTGTACAAAGATTTCTGCTTGAATATATTACATTCATTCACTAGGCTTCATGTCATGCTTGCAGGTTTTTATATCTCAGGAGAGAAATCCAGTACTGTTATATGATTCTCCAGGAGCACATAAAACCTTCCTTAACAGTGTTTCATAGTGGGCAGTACTTGGAAGTACTTTTTCTAAAACATTCTATATCTTAGTGTCTTATACAAAAAAAAAAAAAAAAACCCTATGTTTATTCCAATGTGTTCCATTAATGAAGAGGCTAAGGAAAACAGAAACAACAAGAAGCAGACCAAAACCAAAAAAAGCCCAAATCCCCAGAAAATGAAAGATGGCCTTCCTAAGAAATTCCTGAAATTCTCCAGTGCTATTTGTAAATGAAAGTATGGGTAACTTTATTTCAGTTCACTTGTCCCTGGTTGCCCTCCCCCAGCCTCTTCCCCAGCATTGTTTCATAATTAATGGATTGGAGGAGAAAAGAACTGCCTAAGTCTGCATTTTTGCAAGAGGATCCAAGGTTGGTTATCTATGTTTAAACCTTACAGAGCTATGTTGTTCTGTAATGGTATAATCTCTACATTCCTGGTGAGCCACAAAAATCTAGTTAAT